TCTCAGCATAGCTGAGATTCATTGACTCATGCCCGCTCGCCGTGTGCATTCCAACTAAGTCGTGCCGACTTGAAGTTGAATTCGGCATTTAATGCCACGTTCATCACTTCTTCAAAAGAAAACGAAAGACTTCCATTCTGACCACGCCAGTGCGGAGGCCGTCCATAAAGACAGTTACTGTCATCGCTTCGGAGAGAGGATCTGCTGCCAGCACGGCAATAAGATTTCTCAACTCTTGGACAAATCCACCAACTCTTTCTTGCCCCAGCGGGCAGCAAGGATACGCGATCGCACGCGATATGCATGATTAGGCGGCGAGAAAACTCGCAGAAAAAACACTTCAGCTCCTTTCAGGAGAGGAGCGCAGCTTCAATCGAAGCACCGCCCGTTATTGCCCATTTGCGTGCTCGGCGGAGATAGCCAGCGCCACGCGCTGCTGCTCGTTTTGGAGTATGGCGGATGCCAAACTATCTTGCCCAGAGAAGCAGATTATTTCCATTCTTACCCTCGAAGGTGTTAACGCTAACCATGAGTGGGCTTGGTCGGGAGGAGTCATCCGTCGTCGACTATCACGTGGAACGCCTTGTGGGTCGACGTCATAGGCAGGGTCGAACCCAATATCTTGTGAAGTGACGGGGATACCCAAACTTCAAGAACTCGCGGGAGCTTGAAAAGCCACATAGGCAAGACTGACCTGACGTCGTAGACGCTTATCATCAGAAGGATCATGACGCTTCGCGTCGTCGTCCGCCTCGCGAAGCCCAGGAAGCCGGAGGGCCAGGAGCTGAGCTCAAACTATGGCCTTGAGCTGCTGTGGTCGTAGCCTCACCCGTGTGAGCAACCACAGAGCTCGCAGGAACGTTATGGATAGTTCCATATGTCGAAGGGCGGCAATACGCGGGAAGTTGGCGTTTCGCCTTGAGTTTGGCAAACTCAATTCAGAGATGGCGTTCTACGCGAACGTCCACTTCCTCGTGGCTTCACTGTAACAGCGAGAACATTTTTCGGTGCCGCTGCACCCATCGCTCAAAGAGCTCCTCATCATCCGCAGCGATTTGCCAGGAACGAGCACCACAGGAATAGTCCGCATTGCGGGTACAGGATCGCCTCCTCTTTGAGCTCAACGTCTAGTACGGTACCTATCCATTGGGATTCCTTGTGGTACCAACAAGCTAGCTCGGAGAGCTTTCCGCTGATCAAGCTCAGCTTGTGTAGTGGCCAGGGGTCCGACTACGTAGACGCCTCACGATCGAGTGATCGCGTCTGCGGGATTCGCCGAGCGACGCCGTACTCTACACGAGGGTCTACCACCGGACGTGGATACGAGCGCATGAGAGCCGCCCTGTGGGCAGCCTCCAACTGCTACACCTGTGCCTCGTCGAGGCAATTGGTAATGATACCACTTTCCACGGAAGTCGAGAGATCTGGGAACGGACACTGTGTCCGCAAGGCTTGAGCAGGGCTCACGTCGCGCCGTTGGCGCGCCTCGCCCTCCTCGTCTTCCCATGCTAGGAAGGAGTATCCGACTCGTAGTCGACTTCATCTGAATCTCTGACCAGGAAATCCGTCGTCGGCGCCCGGTTGCCGAGGGCTTGGGATGTGCTTCCCGTGAATCCGCAAACATACTTTCCGGAGATGCACCCTGTGCAGAAGACAAATAAGAGCTTTGCCCGCGGGCGCCCTCGGAACCAGCCAGGCTGAGTGTTTTTCGTGTTATAGACACAGGGCTCATTGAGCGGACAACGTTTAAAGATGCTCTTAAGGACATAACGATGTCTCAGACACGCGAGCATCATATGAGGCGACAGTCAAATCTGAATTGTGGGTATTCATAATTGTGATGGGGATAGTGTAACGGAGTTACACGTACCCGTGTATGAATGTGCGGGTCACACAAGAAGGTGTGACTGTATATAGGTGTGGACTAAACAAGTTGATGTAATCACACATTGGCGTGGCTACACCGTAACAAGAAGCCACTACAGGGCAGGATCGCATGTTGATCAAGTTTAGCTATATTAGTTAGAAAAACCAAAGTTCTTCATATGAGATACCATCACACGCTGTGTGTCACGCGGCTCCGAACTGCAATGTAGCTAGCCTTTGGACTATTCGTAGCGATGTAAATGTTATTCCGAGGGCTTATATAAAATATATTTGATTTAAAACCCGATTTTTAGCCTTCAGAAGCGACCCGACTTATACTAAATCTCAGATGTAGATGCGCATATCTAGTAAAACACGTGGTGGTGACGCCGTAGTGCGCGACAACGCATGCTTTGTATCGATCGCAGATGAAGTAGGGCTGAGCAGGTGTATCTTGAACTTTAAAGGGGTAACCGTCTAGCGAATAAAAGTATTCATGCTCTGGTTTGTATTTAACTGCTGCTTTAAGCTAGTAAGATGTAAATGTGACGACACATTTGCGCCCATTATCAACTGCTCGGAGTAAAAAAGAGTCTACATCGAAGGCTGAAGAGTCACAAGACGACATGTCAAAAGCCTTTTAGATTCGGAAGGACCAGAGTCAGAGCTCACATGAGGCTTTCTTTTGCAGCCGTAAAGGCCACTTGTTCGGTCGCACCTCAGCATCAACGACTCCTTCTTTAATGGATTATTGGAATTTATAATTTTAACATAGCTGTGCAAACAATTAGCCAAGCCACTTCCGTACATTTCTTTGGGATAGCATCACTGGTCAATCTACTATGGTCCTAAAATTTCCGGGATATTCGGGAACAATGCTTGTTACTGAGTCGCCCCGGAAATGGGATTTTGTTAGCACTTGTCTACGCCGACAATAACTTGCTTTAATGCGGCACTGTTTGCCGCAGCTGCTCGAGGTGAGTGTTAACATTCGTTTCTACAAGCTCTGTGCAGCTATGACCAAATCTTCTATCCCAGTTTGGTAGTGCGCATGCACGATGCGACCAAAACAGTTGTGTCACCATGGAGCTGGAGCGTCAAATAGTCTCTAGCAAATAATTAGTCGCTCTTGATAAATGTGCCTAAAGTATCGACTCCAAGGAGCGGTCGATCATACTATTGACCAGGTGGAGAGCACTATTCGGCGTACGCCCAATATGTTTGTTCTGCAGCAATTCTCCAAGAGACATTTTCGCCAAGTTGTTGGTTGCGATGAACTTAATGTAGTCATGTCTAAATTGTTCATTGCATTAGTTTTTCTGACACAGAACATCTGCGGCGAATGGAATGATTTACTCAACTGCCAAACCCGCTTCGTTATCAGGAGCAAGCGTCTATGATGTGACAATGCTCCCTATGTAAGTGCCATTGATGTGTGGAACATGACATAGATCATTTATGTGACGCATTTTCCGAATCGGGGCAACACTGATGGCGCTTCATTTGTGACCGTATGATATTATTCTCCAGCAACGATAAACCGCAACTTTTTGCAAGATAAGCCGTTTTGTCCTCCTACTAGATACTTTCGAGTATTATCAATAATAGACCCATCCGCGATTAAATATAAGCTCGGCTCCTTCGATGAGAGTATCACTTTGGTCATCTTATTGTTTTAAGCTTTGTGGTAGCCGTTTCTGAGGCTCCTTCTCCGGAATCAAACCCTAATTCCCCGTTACCCGTTAATGCCATAGTAGACCCATATCCTACCATCCAAAGCTGATAGGGCAGAAACTCAATCGATTTATCGCGCAAAAGCGCGATTCGCGCACGAGCTCTGCAAAAGCGTCCATCTGGAGTTGTGAGTGTTACGGATTACGCAGTGTACCAAGGTATACATACACGCTCTACTTACGTCATAGCAAAATATTGAAGTCCCGGAGTAAAGCACCACGGTGAAGTTCTAGTGGACGGAACTGGGTGATGGAATCAGTAAAAGAGTATTATATGGTTCACGTCCTCACGCTATGCTTTAAATAGGATTCTGTCAATGTATTTGTTTAATAATAAACGTCAAGTTGAAATTCAAGGATAAGAGGTTCTCAATTTTACGAAATACACGGCAACCCGGGTGCACTAGTCGTTGATTCGACGGTTTCAGTATAAACATTAAAAAAAGCGTATGGATGTATTGCATGAAGCAAGGCTAACAACCCACGTGTACCACGTACGTCTTTATTACGGAGTCCCATCTTCCTCATCAGTACTTGCACAGCTTTCCCAAGTGTTAGCTGTACGTACAACATAATACGACACGACCCCGCTCCACCCCTCCACCAACATATAGATCACACCGGGCTCACACCTACTTTATCTTTCAGATACATTGCGCAGCAGGAATATTTTACAATGCGCTTGGAATCACTCAACCACTTGCACCTTAAAGCCCTGCTTTTTAGGCCTCATCTGCATCAAGATTACCTTTTTGTAGCGCGTGGTAGATATATTCAGTATAGTATAGAATGGGCAAATTAAAAATCCTAGCCTACGTGCGTTATCAACCGAGACTTTGAGTCAAAGGCTTCAACTATGTACAAGGCGCACGACAACTCCGTTCAGATCTTCCTTTGATATTTACTCGCAGTTTAATGCAGACATATAGAATTCATATCGCCTCGAATTTGACAGGAACACAGCAGCGCTGCAGGCGCCTCAATTTGTGAAATCATGAGTACCCTCTCTATTAATGGCCGAGTATAATTAACTGATCGTTTGAACCGCAAGCTAACCTTTCGCCAAGAAAAACTAATATCCGTGAAACATATGTTGAAGACAATATACATGCAATGCGGGCCAAGGAGACGTTGCAGCTGCGGCACCAGATTTCTGCAAGCGGGCTGAACCTGCTAGCCGCGACGTACGATACCCAACGTCACCACATACTGACATTTGATTCATCCCCACAGCGACCAAACGTATTGCGGCTCTTTTCCCTGCGACGCCAGCTAAAAAGCGTACCCCTTTTTGACGATTTTGACAGAATAAGTCCCAATACACAGAACCACTCAAACACTGTGAATGTCACCAGCACAATTCAACGACAATCACTCTCTAAAGTACAATGTCAACAACCAATGCGGACAAAGCAATACGAAGTTGAAGTGATAAGTCTGACACTAAAGTATTCCGCTACATTGGATGTGTTCATTTGTGTCTTCAGCTCCACCTTTCGGCATAAAGGTGACACTGTCTCTGCTCAAACGGCTACGTATTCGATTGCACTTGTAGATCCTGCGACATTGCGCAAGTTGCTAGTGTACCGAGGTCCTAAGTCCCAGTCGTTGCAGTGTTTGCACTACGATCCTCACACGGACCGCTTGGTGCTGGCTTGCCTCTTACATACAAATGAACAAGACGAAACTAGAGGTCCCGCAAACATTGTTGAGATTCTGCAGATCTCAAAAAGACCGGACGACCGCCTAGCTTCTCCACAAGCCGACGATCAAGAGCATTCGAATCAAATACTGCAAATTGAGAAGATGCAAGTTTCATTAATTCATTCGGATGTGTTGACGTTAATCTGTGGCTCGACAGGATTGCGGGAAATGTATGGAGTTGCAGGTGATGAAGTAAATGAAACGAGTATGTTGCTTGTGTGGAGACTCCATCAGGTAATTGGCGAGAAACTGGTATTAGTGAGTAGAGTTATGGTTTTGTATAGGATCTCGGCGATGGCTTTGTCTCCGTGTGAAGATTGGTTACTCATTGGAGCCCATGATGGAGGTTTAAAGGTCTGGAATGTTAATGACAGCAGGTTGAGTAGATTGGGGCAATCCACTACTGATGCAACTCCTTACGAAGCGATCGAAACTCGTGCGGATAGTACTCGAACAGAGGCAATTATATCAATACAAATCGTCAGAACTTGTGCGATGAGTTCGACTGGCGAATGGGATGCAGAGTCGTCCGATATGATTGTCATTGTGGCTGAAAGAGAGACGGGGGTTGTTAGACACTGGAATCTACTTATTCTTGAAAAAGACCAGACCGAATACATTGGCGATGCAGTGGATTTTAGAAACCAGCGTTTTCCAAGGCTAAATCCTGTTGGGGGGTTCAACACGGAAGGAAAAAAGGGACTCCAGACTAGCAAAAAGGTCAAAATGGTAGCAAATTCTGACACCCACGGACCTTCGCTCCAAACACTGACTATGTGTGTCGCCATTGACATGGGTAGCTGCAAGGGATATTTATTGCTGATTGTTCGTGGCGACGTTATCCATGCACTCAAAATGCAGGCGGTATCTTACACTTTGCAAGAGTTTCGACCATTGGAAGCATTATGTGCTTTACGGTCAATAAACTGGCAGAATACCTCTCAAATCATTACTCTCAGTCGTACGGGAAGATATAATCTTCGGGCATTTTCAATGGATGAAGTCTCGAGAAATGCGTCTTCTGTTTTTATGCCAGTAGATATCGATCAACGCAAAGATGGTCATGTCTGTGCAATGGAGATCGCAACAAATAAGTCGCTCCAGAAAAATTTGGTAATTCTTGCATGGGATTCTGGAATCGTGGACGTGTACGATGTAGAAAATGAGAAATGTTTAATGACTCTGCGAGACGATCGGATCACCGATCAAATTAGCGCTCTATCAGTCGTCATTCACCAACAAACGCAGACGTCCAAGGCTGCTTTAGCCAAAACAAAAGCCCGAGACGCAAGGAATCATTCTTCACGCGATACCGTTGCCAATGACACTTGTGTAAAAGCTGTGACGCCTGGAACGATGATTGTCGTGGGAACAGAAAATGGTAATTTGTACGGGTGGAATGTTAAAAAGATGTGGCTCGGTGGATCTGCATCTCAATCAATTTTGCAGGCCAATGTACAAGTTGAATCTGCCCACTCATCTTACGTCGTTCAATTCGCACAAATTGGCGGAAGTCTTGGGGATCGTGCGCTCATGGCATCGGTAAGTGCTAGTGGACTTGTAAAATTATGGAGCGTGCCGTCCTTAAAGATGCGAAATTATGTAGATAGTATTGCTGGCGGTTATTTGGCCGCTCCATCGTGCATTGAGCTGATGAGGGATCAAAAAGAGGTCTTTGATGATAATATCTTCTGTGTGAGCGTCGGCTATGACGATGGTCGATTGGCTGTTTGGCGCGTCAATGTTAATAACCAACCCTGTTTACTGAAGGGCTTAGCGAAACACGAGCGACGGGTGACAAAAATCTGCCGTGCTTCGACTACTGCTGTGCAAACTGGAATGACCGAATTTTTAAGCTGCTCCCTTGATATGACTGTCATTCAGTGGAAAATCACGCAGGCTGAGAGTGTACAAGCAAAGCGATACTTCGACGTTGGAGCCTCGATAATTGATATGATTGTGGTAAACAGTCAGGCTGTTCTCGCCTTAGCTCACGAAATCTGTATGCTTTTTTACGCTTCGCGGAGAGAAGATAGCCAGACTGAGAACGAACTGAAATCTGACTCGGTGGCCAACAAATATGCTTATGACCAGCTAAAATGTACTGCTGGCGAGATTTCACCTTATGTAACTGAGAGCTCCCGAGACACTTCAACAATTCCATCTACAGAATACATTGCTGAGGTCTCAGATCCACCAAGTCCAACATTATACTCGGAAAATATGGCATTTGAATCTCAGTTTCTCTCTACGGTTAATGATTTTAAAGATGCCTCGTCCAGTGTTTTAAGACCGAATTCTGTCATGGGTGCCTTACAAACGACACAAATGCAAAGTGAAGACTTTCTACATCCGCGATCCGACCCGACCGACAAAGTGGCTTTCAGTGCGAGAAGCGGTATATGTACGAAGCAGCATTCTCGCGTAATAGTCAATGATGACATTTTAATCAAGTATCTTAAGGATTTCATCACACGCTACGGCACTAGTGGCATGATGGCAGCCAGACTTATTCCAGACTTCTTGGCATCACGACCCGAGCTGCCGAGAGTCAAGCGAGCAGGCTTTGCATTAGCGAAAAGCCTTAGAGATCTCAATCTAAACGCTCAGACCCCAGTTGATCATGAGAAAGCTTTGCAGGTTTTAAAAATTATATTTACGATGAGAAAAACTTCTCGACAGTCTTATGATGCACCAACGATGGCTTACAAAGTCAAGCATAGTCATACCGGAAGTAAAATAGAAGGACGTCAGCGCGGCTCTGAGAAAAAGCAAACACGGCGCAAACCAGTGGTGACGTACAATTTACTGGGCGAAAAGTCTGTTCGATGGGAGAAAGAGATTCTGGAAAACGAAAAGAGCAGATGTAAGCGATCATCGACCAGCTCTACCACAAATTTGACGGCGCGCACTTCTTTTGGTCCGACTGCAAGAGACGTCGGAGGCGAACCGTTACATGGACGCACAAGCGCTGTATTAAAAAGCAATGGTGAAGCATCTTCTTTTGATAAACATCGAGCATGTGCTCTATCTCACACTTCGTCTGGAACATCATCACCAAGTGGCATCATCGAGCAGATTTGTGGTGAGGAAAAAGACGAAATCGTAACAAATGAAGTAGGAATCAACAACGATCAGGATAGAAACGATAGTGAATCAGATTATTTTGAAACTTCGAAAAACCAAGTTTATGATCAGCTTTTACGTTGCACCGAAGCTGTTAAAGCTACCGATGCAATAGAGAAACGCGATAAAGCCATCACTGAAGACAACATTGAGTTCAAGGCTGACAACGCTACGAATGCGTTAATGAACAATATCCGACTCTCGCCGCTGTTTCAGCCATTTTGGAGAAAAGGTTATTGCTGGTGCCGACCTGCTCCTTACCTTTATATAATTTGGGCTCAGAGCGACACAGCCACAGTCGGCAAACCAAAATCTTCGATACCCAAATATAATTGCATAATGTGCCAGAAGCGATTGCACACTGTCGAACTGCCTCGTATTGGACTCGTCACTCATTTCTCGCGACAAGCAACGTTCGACATCATCATAAAAGTGTACAGCAAACTTTCGGCTACTGCGCAAAAGCGTTTGTTCAAGACCTCCTCATCTACAAATGGCCGCTCGCTGGAATGCTCTATACACGGCACACTTTATGAGATCTTTTTAATATCATATGGCGTCCGCAGCACTGCAGAGTTGAAGATGAAGCTGTTTTTAGTATCCATGTGTCAGTGGCTTCCTGACTATGATGCTATCGCCGTGTTTGGGGAGCTCCTAGGACTCCACCAGCCCGCTGAAGATGACCACCAAGCACCGGCTGCTTTAGTCGCTTTGTGTGTGTGCAGCCACACCTGGTTGTACTCACGAGGCACGGTAGTAAATGGAGATCTCTTGACAGGTTGTTTTTCTGGTCGAGGGCGGGAACGAGAAACTTCTGAAGTAGTATCCGCAACAAATGGTACGACACACTGGCAGTTTGTCCGCGTTGAGCATGCTCTGCTGTGTGCACAAGACAATTTGCTGTACCCTCTCGTAAGTCCAGATTTTCTTACGAGCGTCATGCGTTTGATACAGGATTATGCACAGCGCTTACCGACCTGCTCTTTGAAAGGAGGTGTATCCCAACATTACTATAATACTCGTCAGGACGGAGATCGTAAAGATTGTTGGATTGAAGTGCATCGGTTCTTGCGTCTAGTGGTTGGTGAATGGAAGCACCAAAATGCTCAATTCCGTGCTGCAGAGAGGTTATTGTTCGTCTATCCTCAACAATCTATCAGGATCGAAGGAGACTGGCTAGAAAAGCTTCGTCTACTGTTAAATTGCTACATCTTCTATGACCATGAGCGTGATGGAGTGGTTACAGTCAGCGATTTTGACACATTGATGTTTAAGCTGCGATATCTCTGGATGGAGGACTGCATGAAGTCTAATTCTCCGTGTTCTCTGTCGGATGACGTATTCACATCTACATTGTCAGAAATTAAAGAACGCTTCATAGACCGCAATTATGACGGTCGGCTGTGCTACTTGGACTTTTGGGTAATGCTATACATGGCGGCGTTCAAGACGCACGACTTTTTAAGCTTTCAAGAAATCTCGTCTTTTTGTCGCTCATACAGATTAGAAGTGACTCCCGAACTGAGTGATGTTGTATGGAATTATATGCTGCGATCATGCACGGTAGTGCTGCCAAAAGGCCTTTACTTTGGAAAAAGCTCCATGGATCAGAAAGTCGAGCGCCAGCATCGAAGACGTATAGGGGGACTACACGATGGAACATTTCACTTTGCAAATTCGCTCACTGAATCGCTTTCGACTCAAGATCTACTCAGACGTGATGACACCAAAAGTCTCGGGTTGTTTCTTGATGGATCCAGACCGGCATTTCGACGAGCCGCGAGCACAACCGCACTACAGCAATTTCGATTTATCTCAATAGATGATGACGCTAGGTTGGCAACCGCTTGTGATGGAAGCAGTCGTAAACCAATTGTTTACGGATATCGGCCAATCGGCCCGACGCGCAAGTCAATTGCGCCACTACGAGTTTTATTTATGGGAAATGACGGCTCGGTGTCAGGATTTGAAAATGCTGTTAGCCATTCTCGTGTGAAACAGATGGGACCGGACCAAGATGCTATATCGCAAGGGGAGTACTCTAATTCTTACATCCAGTTCCCGGATGTGACTCCAGTATGTACTTCAGTGAAAACGACAGAAGCCCCGCGAGAAAATAGGGGTCATTTTTTATTGAAAAGAAACCTTTGCAAGGACTCGTTGATCCAAATTAGGGGGCAAAAAGGCTCGTCGTCCATGAAAACATCCACAAGCCGCATCCGTTTATCCTCTATTGCGGTGCTAGCACCTGAAGAGGAAGAAGATACGCTAGAACGCAGCGCTCAAATTTCTACCTCAACGAAAAGGCATTGCGCAACACCAGCTGTTGTTGTTCCTAAAAAAATTCCAAAAGCGCAAGGGAGCTCAGATCTCGAGCTTCTAATGCGTCAGTTGTCTCTTGAGCTCGTGTATACAATATCGGAACGAATAGAACACGAGAACGAGATACTACAGTGTGTTCTAGACTTGGTAAAGCTAGCCACGAATAGTCAATTTTCGACACTTCAAGAAGACATTCTTACAAATGATGAAACAAGAGGTGAGTGCGTAGCTACTTTTGAGCAGCTTAACGAGCGAGACAGCCATTATTTTGAAGTAGAGGTAGACGAAGCAGCTTTACAAGATGTTACTCAACCGTCGTTAATTGACTCAAAGATGTATATCTTAGCCGACACGAGTGAGCTAGCAGATGCGCCAACAGACTTTGAGAAAGAAGTGGTTAGAAATAAGGTGGGTACTCTCTCTGCAGCAGTAAAGGGTACACCTGAAAAGCTTTTCGAAGAGAATGACGACACCTTCAAAAAAAGTTCCATCTTCAGATCAGACGAATCCCAGTCAATGGGTGAATTTATCTCGAAGCTGAGCTTTGTAAATCAAGTTGGAAACGATAAGGAATTGCAAGAAAGCAGTAACAATACACCAAACAATTCTGGACGTGCCAAATTGGACGACATTTATCATCGCCGCAAATACCGTTTTTTCCATCAGCCAGAGTTTATTCGAAGTGTCTCAGTAATGAATGAAATGTCCCACAAAACGATGTGGAATCCGAGTGAGGAGACCGTCAGTGATGGTGATGATGATGCGGTGGAGAAAACTGGTACTCTTGAGAACTTTAATTATGGCAGAGCATCGAAAAAGGAAGTTATGTCTTTAGAGAATAACGGAATTACCTTACATGATCAAGATGACGCCAATATGGCACTTCTGCCTGCACGATGTCAACGTCTAGACGAAGTTGCAGAGAGAGCGCTGTATGGTGAGCGCGTTGTGAACGCTTTAGACGAGGGTCTTGCATTTTCTTCAGAGTCGGATGGTGCCATGCAAAAGAAGTGGCAACAATACTTTGATGACTCCGAGTCTAGGTTATTCTCTGTCATGAGAAAAGATCTTGAGGAACGACAAAAAGAAATGCGTGAGGCGGATGAGCACCAAATAAAGCTGCGTCAGAAATGGCAACAGCAGCGCGATCAAGATTTAGCGCAACTTCAGTATTCGCGACAGAGGAGAAGCCTGCTTATGTCAGCCAAGCAGGACTTGTCGACTGATCCTGCCGATTCAAGATTCCGAATGAAACGAATTCGTCGAGAAAGCTGTCAACAAATTACAGAAGAACTTTTATCTGGTGTGAGCATACAAAGGGAGTTGCATGAAGCCGAGCAGACTCATTTGTTTCACTTTTACTACAGACCAGACGGCCACACTTCGATCGTAACGTTAAAAATGCACGTTCTTCGTGGAAATGCGGAATTCTTTATGTCGACTGATACAAAGGCGCCTTGCGCTACTGATTTTATGTGGCGGTCTACTAAAAGACTGTCAACGAATTTGGTCGACGGACATCGCATCATTCTGTACCCACATGACTTGGTTCAGAAAATGGCGGTATCTGATGCGGAGATGATGACAACTTCCGACGTGAAGCGAACGGTGTATTATTTGTCCGTTGTGGCTTTGGAACGTGACACAGTGTTTACGCTGGCAGTAATGCCATCAGGTCAAAAGATACAGCCTTCGCGAGCGATGCAAACCGTTGACAATCTTATCGATCGCTTTAACAAGATCACAAAGGCTTTTAACGAGAAGTCAACAAGATCATTTGCCATGATAAATGAGCCTTTGCCAAGTAATGTATCTACACGTCATATTGGCAAGGAAGAAGATAAAGATGCAGACAATGCGAATGCGATTGAAAATACAAATACCCAGCAAAAGACAAGGAAAGCTACTGATGATGAGGAAGACCGACAAGATTTGAAATCGTTCCAGCGTCTCTTGGATGTATTGAGCGAGAAAAGAGGCTTTGGGTCTCCTCGCCCAGCTTCAATTTTACTCACTGGACCCAGTGATGAACACCTCGAGTTTGTTCAGGATGAAGATCACAATTTGAAGATATTGCATCAGCAACAATTATTGTCCAAGTTTAGTGACGATGTCATTTCAAGCGGTTTTGAAAGACGTTTTGATCTGCGAGGCAAGCAAAATAAGATTCACAAAGCAGTTGCAGCTCGATTACATCAAAAGCTTGCCCCTCTTCGCCACAAATTCAGTCCAGAAAACGAAAAAAGTGCGATCTTCGGAACCTTGAATGATTTAGAGGTGCCACGTCCAGTAGCGTATAGTATTACATCGCTTGATCCACTGCTCCGATCAAAGCGATACAAATTGCCATAGCACCTATATACTAGATACACTGTCGAGAAATATTCGACGAATTGAATGGAACTGTTGCCGCGGCAGATTTGAGGTCATGAATCGAAGGTTAGCATCGCGTGGAGCGCATACAAGTCACAACAACACTTGATGCAAAATTTGTCAGTTGAAGAAGTCCAACAGAATAAGATTTGTTTTGTCGAAGTCACGTGTGATTCTTTCATCGAGATTTATACGAAAAGAAGATTTAGGCCTATGTCGATGACCTTTATGTCATTGCATGAACTTTTGAACTTTCCAATCTGTTACGTTTCAAACTCAAATTTATCGACAAGTATGCATGAGGTAAAGATATGAAAGTCGTAATCGCTAGTAATTCGTGTTTAGAAGGACAAGAGCACTGTTTTATCACATATGATAAACATTATGTACAGATTACGGAAATATATTCGAGCAGAACTTTAAATACTTTGATCGCAGTAACTTCATACCCCTTGAACAAATAACAATGTGAGGGTGTTACCAGCATTGTTGTACGCAGCCTGAATTCTTCAGTTACACTCCTGGGTGCAGTGTGTGAACGTGCGTTTTCCAATTCCTGCTGATATCTGCACTACCAAGAATATTTCTGTTTTTGCAGCACCATTTCGCTATACTTCAAAACATTAAGCATAAGTATATTTGATTATGAAAGTGTGTTAGTTCTGTCAGCTCAACTTGTACTAGCAATAGCGTGTTAAGCATGTAAAGGTTTATAAATTCCATGTTCGCAATCTCAAGAAATTGCCAGTACTAACACCCTCCGACAATCGAGCCCATAAATAATCTATATGTTTTGATTGATCAAAATTTGAGCCTTGGCATAAAGTTAACAATAGGTACCCTCACAACATATATTGGCACTTATCACCACTACAATTGGCCTTGTTAGCTTGCGCTGTATACTCCTATCATAATCTTCTATCACATGACACAAATCATTCCAATTTGTCACAACGCAATAGTCTGAATCTTTGTGCAATCAGACGTCATGTATACCGACATTATCCGGACGAATTCCGCATCGTTCGTCGAGCAAAACCACAGTTCAGAATGAAGTCTCCGGACGAGAAGACTCCACTCGTGGGCGCGTCTCCATCTCTCTCAAGCTCTACAGCACATGTCGAACCTTCTTCATCAATTGATGATGCCATGAATATTTCTCCAGGTCGTCCTAGAACGCGCATTCGTGTTGGATTAGACGCAGCTGTTCTTGACAATCAAAAGAAGTGGAAGCGGCTAACGGATATCGATGATGATAATAGCACAGCCAAGAGTATGGCAAGTGAAGTGCAAATGGAATTTATGAAACATCGAGAGAAGCTTGCACATGACCAAAAGCGTCGACTTGGCTCTGGTGTTCCAATGTACCACATAGACTCTGAACAAGAAGCTGAAGAGGATCCGATTTTAGCTGCTACGGAATATGGTACAGCGCTTGAAGAAGATCGGTATTTAATTGCAGCTGCTTTTATTAAAGATGGAATTCATGGTCGTAAAATTGGATATCGATTAGATCGCGATGCGTTGTTTTTAAATGAAGTTTTTCACTCTGAGACCTATCGACTTGTCTATATTTTGGTGGTCACTTTGATGTGTTCGTTGGCATTTGTGGAATATCCAGGCAATGAGAATTTCAAGACGTTTATTCTAGTGGATTTATTCTGTCTTTTTGTCTTTGGTGTTGATCTCTTTATTCGGTGGTATATGAGCTCGATTGAAACACAACATAAATACGTGACAAGACAACCGTGGGCTGTCGTACGGATGATTTTGCTACTTATCACTTGTGTGGATTTAGGAATGAATCTTCTTTTTCCAACTATTAATCCAATTCGATACTCTAGAGCTTTACGACCATTTTTCTTCATCGCTCGAGGAAGAAATATTCGAATTATTTTCAGTAGCTTCTTACATGCATTACGAGAAGTGTTGATAGTCCTTGGATTAAGCTTTTCTTTTGTCGCCTTCTTTGGATTGGTTGGATATCTCATCTTTTCTGACACAAGTGATGATCCAAGTGCCAGTTTTTTTAACTCACTCTCATCTTCCATGTACACAATGCTATTGATTCTTAATTGCATGCCGTACATGGCGGAAAGTATGTATCCATATTACAAAATGAGTCATTGGAGCGCAATTTTCTTTGTGCTTTTTGTCTTGCTCACAAATCTTTTTTTATTAAAACTCACGATTGCTGTGTCGTACAAGTCTTACAAGAAAAATACGGAAAGTATGCTTTATAAACGTTTGCAAAAGCGCAAGGCAGCATTGTACGCAGCGTTTGATATCTTGGCTCAAAATGTCAATTTTCACGACGATGATCTCATGAATTCTTCCGTTTCAAATGAGACTCCAATCGATGGATCAAACGACATTACTCTTGTGGTCAATGCTCCTGTGCTCAATGCAGCTAATCGCCGTGGATCGTCGCGTTTTTTCTTAGGTACATTTGACCGACGTGCATCATTTAATGTTACGAATCCAACACCAAATACAAATCTTGTGACACCCGTTAATAAACGTCAAATTTCATTGGCTTCATGGATTAATGTGTGCGAGTATTTGAAACCAAAATGGACAGCTACAGACGCAGAACTTGTGTTTAATACCGTTGACATTGAACACGTGGGTTATCTCGACTTGACGGACTTTTACCAACTTTGTTCGTTGTTAAGTGTTAAACTCGAACGTCCAACTCTTTTCTCTAATAGCCTTATGCGTCGCTTTTGTACATCACGTCAACACCAATCATTTCGACGCTTTCGGTCCCAAGTTCGTAGTACAGTATTATATGAAATTCATCTTGGTGGTCGGTATCGAGTGGTATTAGCCGAACTTGTTGTCGGGATGCTCATCTGTCTCTCAGTTGTTCAAGCCGTGCAAGTAAACAACATCAAACTAGCCTTCTCCACTCATCATTCGTGGCGTCTTTTAGGTTTCTTCCTCTTACATCTTTTTACATTAGAAGTTTTGGTGAAAATGTTTGCGTTCGGGTACATTGAATTCTTTACACGTCCATTTTGCAAACTCGACTTGGCTATTGTCAGTGTTGGATGGTTATTCTACATGCTCACGATGGTGTCAAAGCCGCCTAATATCTCGCTTGTATTTTACGACATGGCGCTAGCTGTACGTTCGCTACGTTTTCTCAAGCTACTCAATTTATTTCCACCATTTCATGAGATTATGTATACGATGAAGGCTATCATGCCATTGATCATGCAATTACTGCTCGTGATTTTTAGTGTCATGTATGCCTTTGCTATCGTCACCCAAGCAAATTACGGTATTTTATTACGTGACTTTCCAGCAAGTAAACAATCCATGTCGCCTAATTGGTATGCACAGCGAGAGCAATTTCAAACGGAGACGTTTGAAGGTACATTAGTGACGTTATTTGGAGTCTCAAATCTCGCAGGTTGGGACGTCATTATGGATGCAGCACATGCTATGACTGGCTCCGATTCGACGTATGTCTTTTTTTTCACCTATCGGATCACTATGAGCAATATCTTGCTCCCAATTTTTGTAGGATTTCTCGTCGAGTCCTTTGTGTCAAATGCGAAAACTGTCGAGTCAGCAACTAGTTATGTCAAATCTGCACATGAAATTCAAGTTAATGATGAAGAAGATCGAATGACACTATTGGAGACACGTCACTTGCACGAGGACGATGATTTTGAAAATCTCCATGTCGATGAAGAATCGATTGCATTGAAATCAAAGCCCCCATCTCCTGGTTCCGTATCTGATTCGTCAGCTAGTGAAGTTCGCTTTAAATTTCGACGTCGAGGAAGTCTTGTACATGATCAAATGTTTGATGCTGTGAAATTATCCGACGTCAGTCGTTTGACGGTACAATTGAAACACAAAGAAGAAGAATTAGCACAACAAGATCTTGAAATTCGGAAATTAGAGCGCAATGTCTTGAGCATGAAAAATCGATTGAGTCAATCGCAACACGTGATTTTAGCATATGAAAGTAAATTGGAAGAACTCAGTCGAGCACTGCGAGTTGCGCAAGATCGACAGTTTGAATTTGAAACGCAGCAAATGCGCTCGTTACAACAACCAACAACGACAAAAAATACTCATAAACGTTCGCGTCGAGACCGTTCAGCATCCTGGAAACTTTGGACTGCCAACGTATAAATTGTAGCCAGCACGTTATTATCATCATATTCGCTTGAGTGACTGGATGACAAGCTTAGAACCTTTGAGCAAAGATATTGAAGAAATAGTATAAGTTTCTATGGACCTTGAACTTGATCACTTCAATGCTCTTTTTTTCAATAGTCGCACTCTTATGTCTCTTCGTCATTCTAGAATTTCATATGTATTTACGTCTCGAAGTCATAAACTTTGACATCAAAAGCCAGCTCTATTAAAAATTTAGAACTGGCTAAACTTAACGTTCTTTCGTGCTGCACATTAAGAGCCAGTAGACAAAAGAGGCTTGAATTGTAATGTTCGAGTAATTGAAAGATTCCACTCTTTTCGTGATCAAAGTCGTCAAGTTCTGGTGTTGATGACCATCGCCGTGATCAATGGATGTCTTAATCAGACGAGACTCGAGACTTTCATGCTATTAAGTGATTATTCAAGTTGTAGCTTGGATTTCGTGGATTGTTTGAATCTTCATTACATACTTGCGACAAACTTAAAGCATGCAGTTCATATCATCAGCTGCTCAAATATTACAGTCCGAGCTTTGTTCCTATGAATTCAAGCTATGACTTCGGCATGATGTTCTCATCATTTACGTGCCAAGTTCATTTAAACTTATGAAATTACTATTATCTTTTCTTAACTATAGTTCTACGTCTTTTGTCATATCTACACATTACTTAGCATATATATAAATTATCAAATTTGTGAAACGACACATTAGCACTCGAGCAACTCGGCAAGCGGATTCGCATTTGAACACTCAATCAGCAAAGCATGTGCAAATTGTTCAAGTAGACGACATCGTTTGTGTAAGTAGCTGAGTTCAAGGCGATTAAACCATCGACTCGAAGAAACAAGAGGTTGCCAAGCTGCTAAAGTTTGTCGATACCGGTTTTGGTCCAATGTGTGCACAAATCGGGAAATATCGGAAAAACGACGCCAGCCACTAAAGTATCGCCCATCGAGTTGCATTTCAATTAAATACTCAGCATGTTGCACTTTTGAGTCTTTTACTTCGACAATTCGAAAACTTCGGATCTGAATCTTTGCAGCAATATGACGATGCGATGGTAACACACGAAGCCAAGAGTATTGACTTTGGTGATAAGGTGTGTCATAAATTTCATGTAAAGGTGGAAATGTACGACACATATCAAAATTGGACGACAAGTCTTTTTGTACCATTTGTGTCGTCGAAACAGGAAACGTTGGAAATGATCGACGGGATGAGTACAACATGCCATTTCTCTCACTAATGTCTGAAAAGTCATCAATCTCTTCAAAGTCTTCAAACCATCCCCAATCGTAACCTTGATCGATATCTTCTGGTAATTCTGTAGTTTGAGAAGAAGATGTTCGATAATCTTTTGTCATTGTATGTAATTCTTTGACTGGAGATCGAAAAGCTTGATCCACATTAAAAACTTCTTTTCGACATACAGGACAACATGTACCAGATTGAATCCAACGTTTAATACACTTAGCATGAATCAAATGCCCACATTCCGATAGTTGAGTATCCACATCATCCATTAAACACACTGGACAAGTCGTACCAAGTAACATTCCAACACAACGTTTACCACGTAAAATTTCTTCAGCTCGTGCAGTAATTCGTTGACGTCGTTCTTCTTCATTTTCATTTAGAAATTCTCGAGTCTCAGTATCCAAGATATTAGCACTAGCAGTTGTTGAAAGTAATTCAAGACCAAGTTGTGGGGAAGTTAGTGGTCGTTCACTGCAACTTTTTCGAAGTGCACGTTGTGCGTTACTTCGACGTTTTAGTGAATTCGTTCGTGTTGTTGTACTGGTTGAAACTGGAATCTGTTGCTTTTTATTTGACCAGATCCATGCTTGTGTGATCGTCTCGTAAGTCTCAGGATTCATTTCACTCACGTCAAGAATGCCCATGTACCAAAGAATTTTACGACAATGTGCCAATACGTAGTAAAATTGCAAATGGGAAGGGTAAGTAAGGGATTGGTACTGTACCGTGTGTCGGGTGCATTTGCTTAATGGTAAGCGACAGGCGATTGAGGGTAGGGATTGACATTACGTGCAGAAGTAGTGCTGACGAAGGCGCGTTTGCAAAGGGGCGATCCTGTGATGTCTTATAATTAAGATGCACAACATTAAGAACTGCCAAGATAGATATCAAAACCTGCTGCCACTTTGTTTCCGTTTAATATAATGATTATGAAAGGATTGTGACCATGCGCTAGTGTCAATACTATTGGTCTGGATTCCTTATCATGTACAGAAATAGGATTTGTGCCCAGATCTCGTCTTCACACTTGCTATAAGTACATATACATTGCAGCTGGTGTAACATGTTCTCTAATCTATATATGCTACACAAGCTCATTGTACTACTCTTGATATATAACACTTGTGATACGACATAATGTTCGTCCGACGTCATTGATAGTGTCACTTCGTTGCCAATAATTGAGTGGATTCTACCCATTTCGAGGTTCCGACTACTTTTGCTATATCGGTACTTGGATCTGCTATGAAGCAATGAATAGAAACACTTTTTTAATTCTATACATTACTCCACACTCTCTAATAACTGGCTCGTCTACTATTGTGTCGCTAATTTGCCAATGTTTGCCGAATGTCTTTAATCTGCGAACGACCATGTTTTCGTATGTGTGGAAAGCCCAACCTCACGCCAGACAAGTACGTACACTGGGCTTACGGGTTGTGAATATACGTATAAAGGTCGTAACCTTGCAAAGGGTTTACATGGATTTTCTAGGTTTTGACTATACGGAGACTGCAGACGACTCGGGTGGACTATTATACGGTAGATAAGTTGCTTTTGACAATCCACGAAGTCAGAGTCTGATTCCTACGTTCTTTTCTCTCATTAGGGATAATCTGGTCTAATTCAAAAACCTGTCTCTTTGAATTACGCGTGTGACACTCTTAAATCTAATCTGAGGGAAAATACCATAAAACGTAGTTGCTTCGTAACAAAGCGTACTGGATTTGTCAACCCACGTTTCGACAACAATAGTTTAGATATCAGTATTTATTTGATCATTTTATATCATTTGCCGCACTTACCCCAACGTTCTGCTGGCTGGTTATCTTCGTTGACCAAGTTATGGATCACGTTTGGCTACACGTTTACCGCGGTCAGTGACATTATTTTGTGAGATGCTACAATCAATTTGTTTTCTGGCACAAGTTTTGAGAATTAATACATTTAAGAGACTGTCACCACGCATTTTGTCACATGTCGGCAGGTGTGTATAATAGATTATTTCTTTTTAGATATCGACAAGAAGCGCTCGCAGATCAAGTATAGGCACGCTTTCATCTCTCCAATTGAGCTGCAGGTCCGTAGACATAAATATTGATAAGGGCTGCACCGCAGCGCAGCAATATAATCCACTCCATAAACCTGTTATATTTAGTAAACTGTTTATTATCATTTATCAAAGCACTATTAAATACTATCGTATATAATGATTTGCCATGTTGTTAACGAATTCAATCAAGTGAAATTTTTTTATCTGCAATTTGATCGACTATTGCGTGATGATAATACAGTTATACTTAGTTATATATTTGAACCACGAGGTAGTTGCTCGTACCCATGTCAACCTTGCCAGCTTTCTTACCAGTAGGAATCAAAGTTGTGGCTCAACAAAATCTTCTAGTTAATGAGGCGTCGAAGTCGACGTAAAGCAGAAAACATTGTTTCACATACTATTAAATTACAGAGCTACATGCTGTCGAATATTCACCAGAGTTTTTTCTAGAAAACTGCAATTACGAATAACTATTTCATTCATGTCACATCCTTTTCGATCACAACGTTCTTCATATTCGAGTTTTCGAAGCCACTAAAGCACTTTTTTCGGAAAGTTCGTCTATAGCATTCGGTAGAAGTTATGCATTAAATTGTAATTAATCGTGTACGATATCAATTGACGGAAAAGTATCGTATGGTGAAGATTGTTGGCAAAAGAACGTATGAAGTGATTGCAGCCAGCGATTTTACGTACATGGTGGTACGTTTGCTATCAAGAAATTGGGCCAATTCGTACGACATCCAAAAG